TGTCTCATGTTGGGAAGCATGGCCCCGAACCTGCAGAGGCAGTTTGAGGGAAAGAGCGTGTTTGATATGATCAACCAGCTCAAGACCATGTTTCAGGAGCTAGCGCATACCGAAAAGTACAAGACGCTGAAAGCTCTGGTGAAGACGGAGATGCCGAGAGGCAGCTCTGTCAACACCCACGTCCTCAACATGAGAGCTCATATTTGAGAAACTTGAGCGTATGGGAGTGAAACTCGATGGAGACTTGGCCGTAGACTTGATCCTGATGTCATTGCCCGATAGCCGAACTGCATGGGATGCTGAAATCGGCTGAGCAGGATATCGTGGGGCCCAAGACTGTGCTTGTTGTGGAGAAAAACTCCAGCAAGAAGCGGCGGGGTAAAGCCAAGAAAAAGGCAGCGAAGAAGGCAAAAGTTGCCCCTGTGCATAAGTCTAAGCCCGATAAGGGTGACTGTCATTACTGCGGAGTGTCTGGACACTGGAAGCGTAATTGTCACCTTTACTTGGAGGATCTGAAGGATAAGAAGCTTGATGAAGCTTCTGCCTCAGGTATTAATATTATAGAAGCTAACATCTATACTACATCTTCGTGGGTATTGGATACCCTAAGTGCCTTACACATTTGTGGAAATGTGCAGGGACTAAGAAGAAGTAGGATGCTGGCTAAGGGAGAAGCGGATCTACGCGTCGGAAATGGAGCAAGAGTTGTTGCATTGTGTGTTGGCGTTTATGATTTGCATCTTCCTTCTAGACTTGTTTGAATCTTGCAAGTCTTGTTTGATGGACAAGATGACAAAGCATCCTTTCAAGGGGAAAGGACAGAGAGCGACGAAGTTATTGGCTCTCATACATATTGATGTATGCGGATCAATGAGCTGTCCAGCTAGAGGAGGTTATCTGTATTTCGTTACGTTCACTGATGATTTCAGTCGATACGGTTATGTCTATTTGATGAGACATAAGTCTGAAACACTTGAAATGTTCAAGGCTTTCAGAAACGAAGTACAGAACCAGCTTGGCAAGACGATCAAGACACTTCGATCGGATCGTGGTGGTGAGTATATGAGCCAAGAGTTCACTGACTATCTGGTTGATTGTGGCATTGTATCACAATTAACTCCTCCTGGAAACGCCACAGTGGAACGGCATGTCTGAACGGAGGAAC